ATTGAAATTTTAGGTGCCAGAGAAGTAGAATGGGGGTTATGGTGTATGCTCTGCATGCAGTCAACCCTGGTTTGGTTTTTGGCACAACAAGGTGCCTGAACATTACTATATGTAGTCGAGAGGCTCCAGAGTACTCCTGGGTGTGGCCCAGGACTCCTCAGAACTGCAGGGCTTAAGCACCACAATATCCTCAGACTTGAGCATTAAACTGCCAGTCCAGTTGCCTGAGAATCATAAGGAGGGACCCATACCCTCATAAGCACACACACACACACACAATACTTATGGGTAGTTTAAAGAAATTTACATGGAATGGTGACCACCACCCATTCATGAAGATACTAGCTAAGTGTCTTAGCATCACTCTGTTTGAAAGATGAGAGGAAGAAGCTGGAGGGCTGTGGGTGTGGCTTTGGGAGAAGAAAAGTATCATCAGAGAGAGTTCCTGTCCTTAAGTAGAGTCACAGAGTCACTGCCAACTCACAGCCTGCCAGGAAGAAGCCTGGAAGTTATAAACCCCAAAATGCTCTACCTTTATCCTCAAACTCCTATCAGTGTCAAAATTTTGCTGAAAGAATCAGAGTCAGAGGAAATAGGAGCCTGACACAAGGCATAGAGATGTCTCTCTGAATGTAAGGAGGATAGAACACATGGGACTTGACGGCAAGTGGAGAAGATTGCTAACCTCTTTGGCCTCCTCTTAGAAGATATTTTCAGGTGATTAAATGTCCTACCCATGGTTTCACACTTATTATGTATTTTACTTTGTTCATCTGAGAGCAGTTGAATGAAGGTATTACTTATCATATGGAAAATGTTGGTGCCAGTGAAGTAGTACTTTTTATTATAAATACTTAGACAATAGAATGTGTTGCCTTTTCTTTTTAAAAAATACCAGTGCACAGGTGTTTTAAGTTAATTATTTTGATAGTTGAAGAAAAATTTCCAATAAACTGTCATTCAGTGAGATAAAATTCATAAAATTGGACTCATGACCAAAGGAAAGAGGCACTTTATCTCTTTTAATTAACTTCTTCCCATGGCAAAAGATCTGGCTCCACATTATTGGATTCTACATGGCCTCCTTAGCCTTGATTCATTCGAATGCCTAACAACCCGAATCGGACGTTTACATCTGAATAGATGTGGCTCGCTGCCTACAGTTTCTATCTTCGTTGTCTATGCACCAACATCTCATTATGATGAAAGAGAAATTGAGAAGTTCTACATGGAGCTGCAGAAGTTCTATAAAGAAGACCACACCTTCTACAAGATCATTGTGGGTGATTTTAATGCCAAGATAGAACCGAGAAGATCAGCTGAAGAACTTCATATCGGGACCCATGGCCTAGAATGGAACAAACAGGGTGAGAGACTGTCTGAGTTCATCATGTCGACCAAGACCATCCATGGTAACTCACAGTTCCAGAAGGCAGAATCTAAACGTTGGACATGGGAGTCTCCCAGTGAACGATTCCACAACGAAATAGACCACATCATATTCAATCCATGGTTTTGCCTGACCGATGTCACTGTTGTCCCAAAATTCCGAAAGGGATCGGACCACCGTCTCCTTCGTGCAAAATTCTACTTCACAGAGCGGGGAGAAAGGGCTGCAAAGTTTAAAAAGAGAACTCCCAGAACGACCACCAACTGGGAGCTCTTTGGCACTATTGCGGCAACATGGGAAGATGCCATTGTTGACAACATTGATGAGGAATACAATCGACTGGTTCAGCACCTCCATGAATGTGCAAGGAATGCCAAGAGAGAGATAGCCACAAAAAAAGCCTGTCTTCGAAAACTCTTGAGCTTATTTGCCAGCGTGGTTTGGCGCATGCCTCAGGCAACCGCAAGCTAACATCTCTTCTCAAAGAGAGAAGAGCAGAAGTGCTGGTAGATGCGGCAGAAGCCGGGAAAAGTATTCTTAATGCCCGCCTGTCCTTCGCCAACTACAAGACCAAGATGACTGCCCTTCGATGTCCTGATGGATCCATCACATCCTCCAGAATGGCAATGGAGAAGATTATCCATGACTTCTACTCAAATTTCTTCTATAGCCATGTCTACTTGCTGACATACCAAATTCCACAGGATGGATATGTCGTTCCCAACGTTCTCCCTTCCGAAATCCGACAGTAAAGAAATGAACAGCACCCGGCCCAGACAAGGTCAGACCTGAACACCTGAAGAACCTGCTGTCAGTACTCATCAATACACTGGCTCGGCTCTTCACACGCTACCTGTCTGAATGCAAGGTTCCATCCCAATGGAAAACCAGTAGGACTGTACTACTGTTCAAGAAGGGAGACATCCATGACATTGGCAACTATCACTCAATCCGCCTATTGTCTGTCATCTACAAGTTGTTCACTCGAGTCATCCTAAATAGGATTGGCAGAACACTAGATGAAGGACAACCATGCGAGCAAGCCGGGTTCTGCAAAGGATTCAGCACCATCGACCATATCCACATGATAACCAAGCTCACTGAGGTTTCTCAGGAGTTCAAGATGCCGCTCTGTTTAACGTTCATTGATTTAAAGAAGGCCTTTGATTCTGTTAGGGCTGGAGCGATAGCACAGTGGTAGGGCATTCGCCTTACACGTGGCCAACATGGCCGACCCGAGTTGGATTCCTCTGCCCCTCTCGGAGAGCACGGCAAGCTACCGAGAGAATTCGATTCCAATGGAGACGTTACTGGACCCGCTCGAGCAAATTGACGATCAACAGGAGGGCCTTTACCTTTACCTTTACCTTTTGATTCTGTTGAGACGGAAGCGGTCATTGAAGCCCTAGCAATCAGGGCATTCAAGCCCAATACATCAAGATCCTCCGTGAGCTGTACTGCAAATTCACTACCAGGATCTCACCATTCTACAAAGAAGTAATCATTGATGTCAAGAGAGGGGTTCGGCAGGATGATACCATTTCACCGAAACTCTTCAGTGCCACCCTCGAGAACATCATGCAACGACTGGAATGGGAAGGAATGGGAGTGAAGATAGATGGTCAGCAACTACACCACCTCCGCTTTGCTGATGACATTGTTTTAATAACACCAAACATCAGCCAAGCGGCACAAATGCTGGCCAACTTTGACCATGAGTGTGAAAATGTAGGACTACAGCTGAATCTTACGAAGACAACGTTTATGAGAAACAGCCTCATTCCTGATGCCCCATTCACTCTCAACGGAATGACCATCTCTTAATGCAACAGCTATGTGTACCTAGGTCAAGAAGTCAACATGACAAATGACCTGGCACCCGAGCTGCGCAGGAGGAAGAGAGCGGCTTGGAACGCCTTCAAGTACGTCGAATACATAGCTAAGAGGACGAAGAACCTCCGGCTCCGGGCACATCTCTTTGATTCAACTGTTCTTCCTGCATTAACATATGCCTCAGAGACCTGGGCCCTACGCAAACAGGATGAGAACGCTATTCAGGTCTCCCAAAGAAGAATTGAAAGAGCTATGCTTGGAATATCACGTTTCACTCAAATGAGAGAAAGAATCCGAAGTTCCGACATCTGTCAACGATCAAGAATCAGGGACACTGTCTCGTTTGCCAAGGTGTCAAAAATCAGATGGGCTGGTCACGTAATGAGATTTAAAGACGACCTCTGGACTAGAGCTGTTACCAACTGGATTCCACGGGATGTCAAAAGACCGCGTGGCTGCCCACCTACCAGATGGTCAGACTTCTTCATCAAGATCATGAACGATCGGTTTGAGGCTCTCCATATTCCCAGAGCGAACAGATGCCATTGGGCTGCACTAGCACGCGACAGAGACAAATGGAGACGTTACTGGTGCCCGCTCGAGCAAATCGACAACTAATGGGAAGTTAAGTGATTAAGTGATGGCCTCCGGGACACAGCAGCCTCCAGTCCAAAGGAAGGAAAGAAAGGCATAACCAAGGAGTGAATGCATCACTTCTGCCCACCTCACATTGACAAGGATCAATTACATGGTTCAATAAATAAAGCTGAATAAATGGATACTTTCTCTTGTAAAATTCTCAGAAAAATAATTTTTGAGAAGAGGCTAATGAATTTTATGGGGTACTCACAAGTCTACAATCCCTGATTCTTCTGATTTATTTATTCTTCATTCAATAGTTAAGAAATCTCTTATAATTCTCTGCTGTGCCCCCTCACAAATGTTAAGAAAAAATCTGCACACACTGATACAATAGCAATGGGAGAAAAGAACTTGCTATTCTCAGTCATCTGACACACTGGACCATTTTCAGCCCAATAGACTTGCCATCACACACATGCTACAACAAAATAGATCTCTTTACTGTTTACATATGTGTGACTTCTGACTTCCTGTATCTAAAAGCAAACCTCAGGGCTGGAGCAATAGCATAGTGGGTAGGGCATTTGCCTTGCATGCAGACAACCCAAGTTCGATTCCCAACATTCCATATGATCCCCCGAGCACCGTCAGGAGTAATTCCTGAGTGCAGAGCCAGTAATAACCCCTGAGCATCACCAATTGTGACCCCAAAAAAAAATTAATAAATAAAGGCAAACCTCAGTCCCAGAGCAGAAGAAATGATTGACTCAATGTTACTTTCTCACACAGTCTTCCCTTCCCTTCCCTTCCCTTCCCTTCCCTTCCCTTCCCTCTTCTCTCCTTCACCTTTGGGAAACATAATAGAGCTTAGGGTGGTGAGTGAGGATATTAAGATAATGAAATATTCTCTTGTAGGGGGGGATTGTATTTCAGTAGAGAAGCCAAATTTGTGAGACCTTCAAAATGAATCCTAATCTCTGCAAATCTTTAATTCTTTCTTCTATAATATTCATAAAAATCATTGATCATTCAGCTAATATTGTGGTAATAAGAATCAATGATCTCACTTGTTTGTGTTTGTGTTTCCAGAAATTCCAGTGGAGAGTTTGTAAGCCTGGAGTCAACTACCCCTGTTTGGGGGATCACTCTTAAAACATTAAATGGAAGTAAGGAGATCTTTCAAACAATGTACAACATGCAGATTCTAACACTAGATTTACTGGCAGTCATAATCTCCCTGGTTGGGCTGGCAGGAAATGGAATTGTACTCCAGCTCCTGACCTTCCAGATACAGAGGACTGCTTTCTATGTCTACATCCTCAACTTGGCCGCCTCTGATTTTCTCTTCCTCACTGTCCAATTTCTTTTCCACTTGGGGAGACTTATTGGTGACTTGGAATTGATCGCCATCTCCATCCGCAGAATTGCCATCATCACGAAGAACTTTGCCTATATCACTGGCCTGAGCATTCTTAGTGTCATCAGCACTGAGCGATGCGTGTCAGTCTTGTGTCCCCTCTGGCACCGTTTCCACCGTCCACAACATATGTCTGCTGTCATGTGTGCCCTGCTCTGGACCCTGTCCCTGCTGCTGACCATATTGCATGAGAATTACTGTCACAGCACATTTGGAAATTGCGATAGAAATTCGTGCATGCAAAATGATATCATCATTGCTGTGTGGTTAATTCTCTCATTTGTGCTTCTCTCTGGATCCAGCTTAGCCTTGTTGATCGGATTGCTGTGCGGCTCCCAACAGATAAAGCTGACCAGGCTGTATATGACCCTTGGGCTCACAGTTCTGGTCTTCCTCCTCTGTGGTTTGCCCTGGGGCATCCACTGGTTTCTCTTATTCTGGTTCCTAGAAGGGTCTCCTATGCTCCCCAATGACTTTATTGAAGCTGCAAAAGTACTAACCTGTGTCAATAGCTGTGCCAACCCCATCATTTATTTCTTCGTTGGCTCTTACAGGAAGTGGCATACACGTAGCAGGCAGGCCCTGAGGTTGGTTCTGCAGAGGGCTTTTGAAGATATTCCTGAGGTAGAAGGAAGTGAAGGCAGCGCTCCTCAAGGAATCCTGGAGATGTCCGGGAACAGTCAAATATCATAATTCAGATCTGCTAGTTTAGTCATATTGGTGTGACTTTAAGACCTAACTTTATCCCTTCAGTGTAAGAGGTTTTCTTGTATTTTACCAGAATTTTGGCCTCATCTTAAATTCAAAATAATCTTCTTCCTCATGAAGATGGTGTGACACAGCCAAGATCACGCTATGCCTATGACCTTGAAGACAGACAAGGTTCAGGGATAACCTAAACCATAATATTCATCTCATCTGAAATGAGCTTTACTAATTAAGAGTCCAGGAATATTCCATTTTGAAAATTCCTCCCTCATCAGAGATTGAAAACAGATCAGAAAAGAGTTAAATTCTTCAGTATTTGAGAGGGATTCAAAGAACATTAATATTTTCGACAAGAGTCATCACATTTATATAAACTTTAAAGAAAACTAAAAGAAAAGAGCTTAAGTTAGGTACCAAAAATGGCCTTCCTTGAATGCAAAAGCTTTAGAATATTTTCCTAACTTGATACATATAGATTAAATAAATTACTTGATGTATGATAAATAGATAATTTTATATCAAGAATGAGCTAGATCCATATACCTAATTTGACTTGCCATCATTCAATTTATTGACTTTAATATCGTTAGTTTTTTATGCCTAAGTTTGTTAACTAAATCAGTAATGTCAAACCCTATCAATACTTTAAGGTACTTGTCTTCCTGTTGTCTCTGTTCATTTGCCTCTCCTTAATCCCACGTGTACTTCTCATTCTTCCCCTTTGCCTGTGCCCTGATTCTCCATCTCTGGGTTCTCTAATCCTTCTTGACAGGTTTCCAGTATGTCTACTCGACACTATTTTCCTGGAATAGAGAATTTATGTCTAGTTTTCTTTGCATTTTATAATTTCCAAAATATAATATATATAAAATATTTTTAAAAATAATAGTCTTATTGAAGCATAATTAGAATTATGTGCCAATGAAGATCAAAACTGTGCAGTTTGGATCAGAGAGATATTACAATAGGCAAGGCTCTTGCCTTACATACACACAAGCTGGGCTCAATTCTCAGCACAATATTTATTTTCCTGAGCACCAATAGGGGTGTTCTCTGAACAGAACCAAAAGTTCTGAGTGCTGCAAGTTGTGGCCCACAAACAAAAAATAAAACTGTTCATTGTGTTTCAGCAAAGACTACACTCAGGTGACTCAGACCCCAACCAAGATATAAATTTTTTCCCATTGCCTTTGAAAGATCCTCATGTGCTTCCTAATCATCATGCTTCAGTCTTTATCACATTGACTTTTTTATTGATATTCAACTTCATATAGTTATTATCATATTAAATATTTTTGTTTCTACTTCCTTTTACACCAAAAAATACTTTGGTTAATTAACCATGTCATTTTATTTTCTTTATCAGTAGTTTGTCCCTTTTTTATTCTATTTTTTATATTTATTAAACACCGTTACAATGCTCCCACCTCCAATCCCACTATCCTATGACCCCATCTCTTCATCAATGATCCTAGGTTCCCTTCATCACACCAACCTGACACCTTGACAAATGTATTTTTTTAATTTAGTTGTTGTAGTTTGGATCCTATGCTATTATTAGTGTTTGGGCTAGTGGTTCAGTTATACATCACCTTTTGAAGATGAATCCCCTTTCATTGTATAGTTAAACCAGTTTGCTTTCATGTTAATGGTATATATCATATATGGGCAAATTTATATATTGTTCTATTATATTAACTATGAACATTATTCAATAATTTTCTGTATATGTTCTTACTTTTATGAATAAATAACCTGAAGTGAAATTACTTTGCAATAGGAAGAAATTTACAAGTTTGGCTCTATTAACCATGTCTAATCCCTTTCTGAAGTTACTATTCTATTCCACATTTCCACTGGCAGTTTGTTATGATTTCCACATGCAAAATATGAGTCTCTACAACTCTTCGAATAAATCTTATATTGTCAATCTTTGAAATATTGTAATTTTAATGAGTGTAAAGTGACATCTTATTGCAAATATTTATTAGCACTAAGTACTATTTTCATATTAACTATATATATATTAATTCCATTGAGCAATATAATGATTTTATATTGTATATGTTTTAAACCAATCACCCACCGCAAAGGGTCCAGCAACACTGTTATTCTTTGACTTGCATGTTCAAATGACTTATGATCCTCTCTAATAATCCCATACAAAATCGGGAGAGAAGATGAACAGAAACTTATCCAAGAAGCAATAGGCATATGGAAAAGTAGTCATCATCACTTTTGTTAGGGAAATGTAAATCAAAACAATTAGATAGCAGCTCACATGAGACTGGAAACAATCAGTGTTGGTGGGGATGTCATATGGTTCAGAATCTGTAGAAAATAGTATGGGGGCTAGAGAGATAGTGCAGCAAGCAGGGAACTTGCCTTGTATACTGCCAAACTGGGTTCAATCCACAGAACCCTATACACCCCCCACAACCATAAAAAGAGTGATTCCTAAGCACAAAGCGAGGAGTATGTCCTGAGCATCACTGGGTATGCGCCTCCCCCTCCATCACCTCCCCCCCAAAAAAAAAGAAAAGAAAAGAGAATAATATGGAAATTTCTCAAAAACTTTAGAATACACATCTATGTTATTGCGGTGCTTAATACAATAGCTAAGAGTTGGAAACAGCCCAAATACTCAACTATGGATGAATAGATCAAGAAGTTCTGGTATATATACACCATGAAATACTGTGCAGATCTAAAAAGAACAAATCATGCTATGGATGAATAAATCAAGAAGTTCTGCTATATATACACCATGAAATAATGTGCAGATCTAAGAAAGAACAAATCATGCAATTTGCAGCAACATGGAAGAAATTAGAGGGTATCACACTAAGTGAAGTTAGAAAAAAAAGAATAGATAAATAATGTATCTCTCATATGTGGGACTTAGAGTACACAGCAAGGTAGCAACAAAGGGGCAATTAAAAGGAAGAAGTGATCCATATAACTGACATGTGTGTGTCTGTGTGTGTGTGAGTGTGTGTGTGTGTGTATGTAAGGATGGGGACAGTGCTGAGGAATGTAAGGGAGAAGCACTGGGGTCTTTGGAGGAGGGAGGGAGGTACAATGGCAATGGGTATTGTGTTGGAATTATGTGCATACAATTATGTGTAATTATATTGAAATTATGTTGCCATCTAGTAACAGAATTATAAATCATACAACTTCAATCAATTAAAAACATGAAGGAAAAAGGTAAAAATATAACTCTCATGACTCAGCAATTCCACTTCTTGACATATACCCTAAGACAAAACATTAACTTGAAAATATAAGCTTTATTCACTTATGTTCATTGCAATTTTTAGTAGAAGAACCGGGATACAGAAGCTACCCAAGTGCCCAACAACAAATAAATGAATAAATCTGTGATATGTATATACAATGGGATACTAGGAAGCTCTGATAAAGGATGATAATAAAGGATGATAATAAAGGATGAAACCACGCAGTTTGCCACAGCATGGATAAAATTGAAGGATATTCTGTTAATTGAAATAAATACATGGAAGAAGGAATTATTTGCTTCCATTTTAGGATCCTGTAATTATCATGTTTTCCTGATTCAATTCCTTGATTATTTATTTCCCCTAAACTTTCAGACTATATATGTGTGTCTTTTTTCATGTTCTTTTTAAATATCACTTGATTTGAGCACGTATTACCTACCCAAATCGTATAGAATATTTATTCTTTCTAATACATGGTATGGAATATTGTAAATCTTCATAAAATGAGGACACACTGAGTACAAGTTCCTTTGACTAACATAGATCAATTATGATTATACATGAATCACTTGTATTGGTCACTTTTAGTTTACTCTACACCATATATGGTGGCGCTGGGACTGTACCTTTTTTCCCTCTTTTCTTAATCATTAATAAGAACTGCAATTTTTCTTTTCTTGCAATCTCTCTCTCTCTCTCAGACCCACAACATTTAGCCCCCAAAATCATATACTGCTCCAAATCCAGAGCAGCATTCACATAAACCACAGCGTGAATGTCAACTCCTGGAGCTTTATAACAGCAGAACTATCTTGGTTTCCTCAGGAAGAAATCCTATGAAGCCTTCAAATTCGAGTACATGAGGCTAGCATCTCTCAGAGACTTTCCTGTTCTGCTGACATAGCTCAAGATCCAAAAAGACCTTCATCATCCTTCCCCCTTTATTCTTTGGACTGCATGTTCAGCATCTCAATGACCAGAAGTAATGTTACAGAAAAGTATTCAGGAAATTCCTATTTTTACTACCTACCTTGTACCAGGAGGGATTTCAGAAGCCTAAAAGTGCTCATTAAATGTGACAAAAATAACAGTATGACTAGAGGAGAATCCACAGGTTTATGGATATTGAGAAGAACCAAAATCTTATCATTTATTACCTCCCAAGAGCAATTTGGTTCACTTCCAAAAAGAATAAAAGATTAAATTAAGTTCAGGGAGTGGGTGGGATAAGTAAGAAACTACCAGGGTTACCTCAGGCCTGGGTTTGTGTGGTACAGAGTCAGGATGAAGTCCCTGGAATCAGTAGAGTTGACAGAATTCTGAAGGTTAGGACATGCAACAGAGATGACCTACTTTGGTAACATAGGTCACCTCTACCTACTTTTAGAGTCTTGTCAGATAAATGAGGCCCTTCTTCCAGGCTTATTATCTTGGTATTATCATGCTTCTTCCATGGTATTATTTCTACCATTTCTAAATTTTGTAATTTCTAAATTACAAAACCATGTATGAAACTTGGCTTCATTGACCCACATAAACAATCCAATGCTCTTTTCAAAACCTTGGTCAATACAAAAAAGTTTAGTAAATATCTGGAAATAATCGGGAAAACAGGGTTAAACAACAACATAAAGAAGATGTACAGTAAAATTTTTTATGAAGAGAATTGTGCTAGGTGATAAGTCTGCACATACCTGTTTTTATCTACTACTATTCTACATTATGATTTTATTTAGCTCT